AGATTTCCAAAAGCGAGTCCAGATATTTGGCTTACATTGCCAAGCAAATGTAGGACAAGGATTTTGTCCTACCTAGCCCATGGTAGCTAGAATCACCACGTGGCATTGTGCAAACCTGCTCCCTTCCAAAGGCATCGCTAACAGCTCAGATGTGCTGCACTTGACATACAAACAACCAAATTGTGCTTTTTTTTTCAGATATTGAGCAACCTTTGTTCTGATTGACTTTATTGGAAGGCACAAATGAGATTTTGATTTTGAATAAAATATCAGTTCTTCCTCAAGCCTCTACTCAGCTTTTCCTCCTTCCTCTAACCAGTCACCCCCACTTATCCTCGAAGTGCTTTAGGTAATTCTCTTTTGCTTGCATTCACTCTAAGGAGTGCTTTAGTAAGTAACTCTAGGAGACAAAGGAAAACGTTGAGAGGTACTTCATATTTAAAGGCAGCTCATTTGCTTTCTATTACTAATATCTCCCAAGTAAAAATAGATTCTGTATGCCAGAAGATCATTTTTGCCATTGCCTGTTATTTATAGCTCCTGCAGGCATTTTGGAAAGCACCTATTTCCCATTTCAAACTAAGACTCCTATTTCCTTTTGGGATTTAGGAAGTCTGGGTGGCCAGGCACTCTAGAAAACCTATATGCATACCTCTGTACTTTTACAGTTTTATCCTATTGCTATAACCCTGGGAATGAGTCCGCTTGCTGCATATCCATGTACGTTTTTCTGTAAACAAAGTAAGCACTTCTCCTTCAGCAGTTTGTCCTCATGGGGGACTGGTTCCTTCCTCCATGCCACCCTAAGCTCTTGAGCAGCTATTACAACTGATATTTTGTATTTTTATTCAGATTATGCTGATCTTTAAAAAAAGTGCATTCATGGTAGTCAGCGACCCGAGTAGCTTCCCCATGCTTTGGGTAAGTCATGAAGGTTCCTTAACTTCCTTGAGACCATTAGTAAGTCATCGAGCACGGACATCTATTCCTTGGAGCAGCCCCCTTGCAGCAAAAATTGACACATTTAATGACTTCTGTGGTGCATCAGGACTTGCACCACCCTGAAAGATGGATGGTATCTCTGTATTCTTTGCAGTTGGTGCATATCACATAATTAAGAACCATATGTGGGATGCGTTATCTGAGCACGTACATAGGCAGGGCAAAGAATACACTAGTGCTGCACACATTGCAGGGCAAATCTAGCTGCATCCAGGCGAATTCAGAAGTGACTGATTGGCCATTACCAGAAATGCAGTAAGCTCAAGCAGAGGAGGAGGTGGTAACTTCCCATAAAGCCCCACATTGAAGAGGAGGCTGGTCTAGGTGACCTCCAGAGGTCCCTCACACTGAAATCTTTCAATAATTGTAATTCAGCTGCAGCCAGTAAGTGCTGCTTATACATCCCTCCATGCCGCAAGAGAATCAATCAGGACGGCTTCCAGGGAGCAGAGCTGAACGGTCAGAGCTGCGAGGTGTCAAGGATGCAGGAGCCGTCGCTGCACAGGAGCAGGACCCTCCTCTTCCTCCTCCATCTTCCCTTTGCCTTGCCATGGGCAATGAGTAACGAGGGCAGAACTAGGAGTATTTTTATATGCTTCAAACAAGGCCAATACCATTGCTTATCTTTGTGTGAAGTTCTGTGTAATGTCGCTTTCAGAAATAAAAATCCTGTAGTAATGAATCAAACACTAAGCCAAAGGGAAACCATATATCGCCTTGCCTGATGAGACCTTCTGCTGCTTAACCTTCAAGCTAAGCCTGTTATGCTTCCTGCTATCAAAAGAAATCCAGATTTTCACTGCACGCATAAGCTGCATATGATAAACGTGCCAAAAGTGCAAGCATTTACACACTGAGCACAGCCCTCTGGAATTACACAACCCTCCTTTAGCTAAGAATGTGCCGATCAGCTCAGCATCCACATGGACCACAGATCATTTTTGCCTCCTAGTGAATTCAGGACTCAAATTTAGAGCAGCCTAATTGACTTGTAGCCCATCCAGTCACTTCTGGGGCATTAATTATCCTTTTCACCTTCTCCCTCTGTGTCAGGATGAAAATGCCTTAATGTGCGGCAGTGAAGGGAGGCAGACACAACCTCTCTCATTCAACTGATTTTCTTTGAGAACAAAAAGAACAAGGAAATACTTTTTGAAGGCACGCTACCAGTGCTGCAGCTCTACGTCGGGGTCTCGGTAGGTCGTATATCCAGTTACACTGGAGAGCTGCATTCCCTGTGTCCAGGAGAGCATTGGAATTGGAATCTGAGGATGTCAGCCCACTGGCCCGGCTGCTCACGTGCCATCATGTGGGAGTGATGGTGGGAATGAAATGGAGAGAAAGTCACTGCACAGATGGGACAAGGGCCTGATCCGGTTCTCCTGATCCCTAAACGGGGTGGATTTGGACATTCAAGGATCTCTGGCAGGTCACGGGCAACAATCAACAGCCAACACTCCTCTGGACCGAGCCCGGCATCGCAGTGACTGAAGGTTCAGCTACAGCATCGTCATTAGTCTGTGGTTACCTATTGCTCTGCCTCGAATAAGTCACCAGCGAAAATCCCCTTTTGAAATCCGCTTCCCTCTGACAACCCTGCTTCTCAGTGCAATCACTTTGGGGCTGGTTGCAAATGATGTCCTTCAACTCACTCCTGTCCACACAGATTACTTGCAAAATGGTCATTGGGAGAAAAAGGAGGGGAAACAAGCGACACTATTGATTTTTTAAAAATTTGCATTTCCCAATGAGAGCGTGGAGGTGGCTCACTGCAGTAGAAGAGCCGAAGAGCAGGCACAGGGAGGTTTTAAATCAAGGCAAAAAGGCAGAACATAATGCTTCCAATTTACTTCCTTAAAATGAAATGTGCAAGCTAAAAAGCCATGAATAAGCACTACTGAACACTGCAGCCACTGAAAAGACATTTTTAAGCCATTCCCCCGCCGTCCCCAGTCCTCGTCCTTTATCTTGTCAAGAGACTGTATTTTCGTGGTGCTCCTATGGCAATTTAAATCATGCTAGGGCTTGGAGCACGCAGTGCAATTGTAAGTCGGCTAGGGTTTGAATGCCATCACTGCTGGGTAAATAACATCATCAGCTCATCAGCTGTGTCAGTACCATTGCAATTATGTAAGCAACTATTATCTCCACCCTTGATATGCCATATTAGGACTTATTTGGGGGCCTGGAGTTGACAGGTAGTCTATAAATGCAAAATGCCCATAACAGCAGACAAGCTGCAATTCGGGATGGGAGCGTAACTTTGCCCAGAGCTTCCTGCT